ATGCTAAAATTTGAGAATGAACACACGGGAAGGCAAATATCTTCCTATTTAGTGACACTGTAAGAAGCTGGTTTCCAACCCATGCATTGCATTTTAAATTTCAAACAGAAGGGGCAGGAATCAATGACCTCCATTTTGTACCTCATTGGTTAAATGAACTACAGTAACGTCAAATATGAATGCATACATATATGTCTAGTATTCAACACAGGCCATGCTAAAGCTTCTAATTGATGGCCAGCAGTAATGCACGAGTCTATGGGAAATGGCTTCACCTGCTTGCCAGGCACACACATTGTTTCCAGTCGTTGCCAAATTGCTTGGACTCGGCCAGTGATGTTTTGCCATTTTACATCAAAGAGCTGGCACTTTCACTTGCAGAATGAATGTCAGCGACAACCACAAAGCAATATGTCTGAACCAATCAGGAATACGAATTGACATGCAGGAACCTACCGGGCCTTGTGATTGGATGAACATGGCTTCTCCCTTGGCGTCAAGCTTCCGCAGTTCACCTTTCTCTCGTTTGCTGCTCCGTCTTATGGAAGAACTAAGAGTTGGCACAAAAACAGACACAATTCAAGCAAAATGAGCCACAATTATCTCTGAACAGTTCGAAATAAGCTGGTGATGCAGGTCATTGCTGTGTTCAGGAGTGTAAAGGTCAGCCGAGGCCATTGATGTCCAAAAGTAATACTAGATGTCTGATCAGCTGACCATAAACCTACTAAATGTATTCACTTTCTCTTGCACATGAGTCAATGCCTTCTTGCCAACCACATCCCACCAGGGATGTGGTTTTACTAATGTTTGTCATGCATACTATTACTTCCAGTCGATCCCCCATCTAAAGCCTAGAATCACATTGTTCCCTCCCACTTCCTCAAGGAACAGATCGCCGCTCGAAGGGAAATTGATCGTTATCTAAGGTCTGGATACCAATGTGGCAATACGGGCGCAACAGCCAAACCAACTTCCCATTGTGTGCTGGAAATCAGATCTGGGTGTTGCACACTGTATGGAGAACAATCTCTCTGTAACAAACTCCACCTCGTTTTTTTAAATTGTAAATGCTACAAGGCTTTATTTCCAGACTGACATATGCCCATACATGGACAGGGGAGTAGCCATATTGTAAGTGATGCATGCTGGGATACATGTGTGTGCGTCAGGGTTGAGCAACTAGTGAAGAATCGATAATGCTACCTTTCTGGTCTTCTCTCATCTCCCCAAATCCAGTACTAAACAGAAACCCTGCGGCCTATTCTTTGAACAAGATAAAAAATTGGGGCAAAAATCCCACATAAATTGCAGTGGGCTACCTCTACCTTCTTCAGTCTGTCATGCAAACACCTGGGAGTGGATTTTATTGCTTGTTGATGGTCGCCATGAAAACCGTAGCTTTCCAAGAGACACATGTAGGTTAAGCTCTGAGAACAACGAGTGTTGTCTAATTCACTGGGTTTTAACTTCTGATATGCACATGTAAGCAGACAGAGGTATTTTTCTTTAAAGAAGATTTGTGTATCTGCAGTCTCACGGTTCCTAATGCAGGAAACAGCACAGAACAATACCTCAAAAAAACTGAAAACATGGTTGCTTGCCAGAGAGATGAATGTTGACGTGATTTGTGGTTGTGTTACTTAGCCTTGTGCATTTCCTTTGAACACACATTATGATAAGAGGAAATCCGATGGAGGGCACATTTTATTCTAAAATCCTGGGTGTTTACCAACCTGCGCTTGTTTCGACTGGAATTACGGCGAACCAGTTTGTTTTCTAATGACCGATGGGCGTGTAACTCCGCCTTCAATTGATTGATGAGGTTCTTTAGGTCTTCGTCCTCGCATATTGCTGATGGAAAATGAAAGACGAGAAAAATAATACTGCCGCTGCACGCTGACCACGAGAAAATCCTATGAGGCTAGCTGAGGCTATGCCAATTCAAAGACATGGCCGTAAAGATGTTCATCACATGGGACAGAGCAACAACCTCATCAGGTGCCTAGAGCTAATTAAATTGCTGCAATTGCTAATCTGGAGGTTACCCCTGGTGATTACACTCCACCAAACCACTGGTGTGATTATGCAACCTACATGTAAATGTAAGCAGATTGTACATGTGGTACTTTTATCCCCATGTATCAAGGTAACATTTCCACAGTGGCCCATGGATCAAAATTTGCATCCACACATACTGCTACTCCATACTTTTTATCACTGGATATCACTGTAATTGATGTGATTTACACAAATGTAACAGTGAGGATATAGTTTTGGCATGGATTCTTGCATCTGACGATGGAAGTGGAACAGATTGGACAAAACAGGTGGAGTTAAATGTCCAATATCATGTGCGAGAAAGAACAACAAAATTGCTATTAAAATTTGAATTGCCTCTCTGTCTACTAGAGTTTTGGACAAAATATCCCTGATGCAACGGCACCCTGACCACATTGCCCCAGACCCCTTCCTTCATTGGAAACAATAAAAGTGATGTAAATGGAATTAGAAACTGAGTAATATTTGCCTATAAGAGAGTACAAACAAAACCAGTCAGATTTAAGCCACCTGCACAGCAAAATCTATCGTGTGATGGACATTTAAATAAAAGGGTCAAAGGTGAGACTATCAATCAGACACCACAAGAAGGCCGTGTCCTAAACGGGCTTCCAGAGCTATGGCTAGGTCTATTGTCTGCGCGTCTCCATGCATTTCCAATGGAGCGAAGACCTAGACCTAGCTTTAGACAAGAGATTCGGATGCAGCCATAAGTTACCAAGGAAAAAAGACCTAGCTCCACGTCATGCCACCAATCACCACAAGTTACTGAGTTCCTTCTCCGGTTTGTTTTGTTTCTAGATATACTCAATTGCACAATTGACAAGCTACATTGTTCACCAAACAGGTTTGGCTTCAATGATGCACACCTTCAAAGCACTGCAAACATGTCTTTTACTTCCAAAGAAAACAATAAGTCCCACTTAATGCTGTCTGAACGGAATCATAAATGTAGAAAAGAGTGAGCCAATTTGAAATGATTTGTTAAGTACAGCATGTACGTGTTATGCAGGTCTTTTTTAAACAGATTTTTTTCACCAACCTATTTTTGATGATTTTACGGGGGAAGGGGGCAGAGTTTTGATGTGTACATGTCTTTCACTTTTAATCTTCGTAGTGTCCTTTGACATGTTTAAATATTGTAAAGCGCCACTGACAATTAAATTAAAGATTACTCAGCATAATGCAATCATTTTGAAACTTTTGAAATCTTCACAATGTCATCAATGTTTGAAAAAAGTATAAAAACATGTATTCAAAGAACATATTTACAGATGGTTTAGGATAAACTATTTAAAACGAAACCAAAATATTTAAAAAATGGGGAAAATTGGGGTGCCTTTCTGGGTTCAGCCTGGATGCCAATTGAGTACCCCAGTTAACAAACACAATAACAGGGTTAAACAAACATTTACATCTCCAGTAATATTGACATGGAAAAGAAAGACACTGCAAACAGTTGGTGTATCCGCTGACAGATGGTGTTGATTCAGTTGACGTTAATATTTGCGCAGGAGTCTTCCCTTATCGACTGGAAGGGTCCATGAAGAAAATGATGAGAAAAGGTTTGTCCAGGGGACGTAGATTTTTGTTCAGTTCACTCGCTGGCTGTGTTATTGAAATTAAATTGGTGTAAATTTGAGATGCTTGTAGATGACAAACCATCTGCCTTAAAAAATGATTGGGGTTTGAGTCAAGAGCAGTGTGTTTTTTAAGTTCTAAAGGGACCTTATCATTGCCAACAAATCTTCCCCATAAATTAAAAAAATATCATCAATCAGAACTAAATAATAATGAATTTATAATTATCCTCATTGTTTGTCAATATGATCAGTCTTTATGGTTATCTTTGTTTCACTGATTGTAAACTTCCATCTTTTATCATTATACCAGAAGAGATGTTGGACCTGGAAAACCAGAACTTTGACCCAGACAAAGGAGGAAATATTTGCATTTATTAACGTCTAATGAAAAAACAACGTGTTTGCCCAAGCACAAAAATATTATTCCCTACTTCAGAAATATTGTTTCAGAAAGGAAAAGCATTATTGCCAATGACGTGAATACGTGACCACACGGATGTACAAGATTTGATTGTGAAAAACAATTGGCTGAAGCACAAGGCTATGTCAAGGAAATCAACTACGTTTCCTAAATGCTGAATACCACGGTGTACAACTCAGAACCTGACAGCTGAAATTACCATTACACCCGCTTCAAATGAGTGGACTCCTTGAATAATTTTGAAGTACAGAACACGTAAATTTACCATCCAAAAATAAGACTTTTGACTGAAAGGGCCTAGGACCCACTTTAGAAAAACCTGGACGTTTCGTAATTTTCTTCCATTGCATTCAAAAACAGACTAAGGGCTTTAAAATCAAACTCTCGGACTAAAACTGGATAACAACAAAACCATGAATACTGATTGATCGCATACCTACTTTACACAAAGTTTAAGGTTTAGACCGGTAAAAGCCCCTAGCAAGGGGACTATATTAGGGCCTGTTTGTTAACATGGGTCTAAATCTCGATCAGTGATCCTTACACTGGTTCACACCATCCGATAGGTGAATTTTGGTGGCTGTAAACCAACAACAGATCACTGATCTTGATCCAGATCCGTGTAAACAAGCATGGCCTTAGGGGGCCTATTGTATTATATTTGTCTTGTGTCTAGCAGACAAGTGTCATTAAACAATCTGTGAGTTCTGGGAAAAACTTGCTCAGATACCGTTCCCTTCTGCCAGGCACAAATTATATTCCAGTTATTATGTGAAACGACCATCTGAATTTTGCCAATTTTCTTCCAATTTCCTTCCTTTAATCATGGTTAACACCATGTGAAAAAAAATCATTCTTCACAGCACAGATGTTCGAAATGTGTGTGTCACATCAAAACTGCAATCCCCTCCCATTTTTACAAAAACAAAGTGTCTTGCCGGGGACTGAGACAAGTACAGACGAATTCACTGATTTTTTGCTGGACACTCTAGATGGCCCCCCTTGCATGATGGTAAGCATTGCATTGGGTGTTGCTCACCCCATAAAAAGGGGCCACTGCAAATAACCAGTGATGGCGTTACCATGGGCACCAACATTTTCTGTATTGTAAGCGATGACAAACCAGACAATATTAACAATTTCTTCAACACTTTATGAAAGTGCTCTAAAGGAGGGCCTACATGGACCGAACCACAAGAATTGTATCAAACTGCCCATTAATGCTGGTAAGACACTTATCAACTTCTATCTTATCAACTTACTGAGTGGTGTTTCATCATTGTTTGTTTTGGCCTCTAGGTCAGCTCCATACTGCACAAGTAACTGAATCATTTCTCCCTGTTATTAGAAGAAGAATGATACATTTCAACACCAATCCATATGAGTTTCGACAAGTCTGAATTAAAACATCACACTGTGTTAGAAATAATCCTGGCAACAAAACAATGGTAATATTAACAAAGTAAATATTTTATTCAGTATTTGATGTTCAATATTAGCACACCAATAATTCTATTAAAGTTTTAAATATTTTGTGGGTTTTTTTTGTGGACTTATTCTTACACTTTAAAGTACATGTACAACACAGCACTGGATACATATGGGAATGGATCCTGATATGGTCAAGGGAAACAAGTATCAAGCTCTCAGCAAAACCTCTGTTGGTTCTGAAGACCTTCATTTGG